TTTGCACCCGTCAGCTGCCTCTCCAGGCTGCAAGGCCTGTGGCTTGGATCTCTTTGTTGATGGTGTCTTGCTATCTCTTGTTTTGGATGCCCGTGAGGTCACCAGCCATTGACTTCTACTTGGTAAGCAGTTTTGGCCACGGTGGAAGACGCTGCTCTCTGGATGTGTCCATACCAGCCTTCTCTCAGAATATAGAATAGAATACAGTTCTTTATTGGCCAAGTTGGACACACAAGGAATATGTCTTTGGTGTTGATGCTCTCGGTGTACACAAGAGAAAAAATACATTCATCAAGAATCGTGGATTATTTGTCCTAAAAATTACAAAAAAATGGAGGGAGGGGGGCGGAAGGAAAGAGGAAGCAATCCCGCAGCGCCTCCCGAAACTTGTACTAGCTAGAACAGTGTTTCTCAACCTTGGCAACTTGAAGATGTCCGGACTTCAACTCCCAGAATTCCCCAGGCAGCATTCGCTGGCTGGGGAATTCTGGGAGTTGAAGTCCGGACATCTTCAAGTTGCCAAGGTTGAGAAACACTGAGCTAGAATCTAGCTTCGCGCAATACATTGAGGATACGGATCAGGCCAACACGCTAAGCCACAAGGTAACCAGCATTTGCCAGCTCCATCCATACCTGTGTTGCGAACGCAGACAGATTTGCAACGGAGAGGGGGTAGTTAAGCCCGCGTGCAAATCCGCCGCAGCGTCCCATCGCGATTTACTTGCAGTTCCCTTTAGCTGGCCAAAAAGTTGCCTAGTAATAGCTTTGGGGAAGCCCACTTTTATCGCAAAGCGAATAAACCACAATGGCAAAGAACTGCGAAGAATGAACAGAGAGAAGCCAGCCGCATCTCTTTTTTTCTTCCCAGGCACACATTTTTATTTTTAAATCAGTAAATTAAACGGGGTTTAGAAGCTACAGTGTTGTACGCAGCAAACTGTGCGTTGTTTTAAATATCTTTTAAGTTACCACACTGGTGGCGCATTTTATCCTTATGAAATTCTGCACCCTGCATGCTAATTGCAGTTAATTAGAAGAAAACTTAGCAGTTTATTTTGGAAAATATGTCCAACGAGATCTAAGAGATAACTTCGCTTGCTCAATGGACCTGAATTTAAATTTCAGACGGTAGGGGGCGCTTCTCCTCTTTCACGGCCAATGTGGCCTCTGCGCCTAGTGCGCATGCACCTCCGGATCAGGCCGGGGAAAAGGGAGGGGGGAAGTGGAGAAAGAGAGAGAGAAAAGCTTGGCCCGACTTACAAGTGGAGACGACGAATAGGTAAAGAACGGAGGTGAGTTGATTGGGGGGGGAGACGGCGGGGGCGAGGGGAGCGGGGAGCGGGGGAAACACGTCAGGCAAGACTGGAGGGGGGGGAGAGGTAATATCCCCCCCTCCTTCCCTTCAAACCCCCACCACCCCAAAATCCACCGATCACTCAAGTTGCAAAAGGGCCCAGTCCCGGCCCACGTGGTTCCAGGGAAAGTGCTGCAGGCGAACGTTCTAAGGATGGAACGCCAAGTATCAACTTCGCGTTCTAATCGGAGGGGGGAGGGGGGAGCGAACGCGCTCCGAGGCAGCGCCGCGAAAGGGAAAGGGGCCGCCGCGGCGGAGTCCGGCGCGTGGGTGACCGCTTGCTCGGCCTCCCTCTCTCCGCCCTCCCTTCTTTCCCGGGAAGGAAGGCCCAGGCGGGAAATTCAAAAAGCAGGCGGCTTCCTTGACAGTTATGGGAAAGCCGTGGTGGTGGCGGTGGTGGGGATGTAGAAATTCCATGCGACTTAGGAAAGGCTTCCTGTTTGATTCCTTATTTTACAATATGAATGAGCGGAAAGACGGGCAGGCTTATCTGATAGGTCTTTCTTTCTTTTTCTTTTTTTTCCTTTCTTTTCTGTCCTTCCCTCTTTTCTTTCTCCCTTTCTCACCTCCCTCTCTTTTTCTCTTTCCTTCCTTTCTCTCTCTCTCTTTCCTCCCTCTTTCTCTTTCTTCCCTTTCTCTCTCCCTTTCCTCCATCTTTCTTTCTCTCTTTACTCTTTCTCTCCTCTCTCTTTTTCTCTTTCCTTTCTTTCTCTCCTCCCTCTTTCATTCTTTCTTTTCTTTCTATTTCCTTCCTCCTTTCTCTCTTTCCTCCATCTTTCTCTCTTTACTTCCTCCCTCTTTTTTCTTTCTTTCTCTCTTTCACTCTCTTTCCTCCATCTTTCTTTCTTTCTCTTTCCTTCCTTCCTCCTTTCTTTCCCTTCCTCTTTCTTTCCTTCCTTCCTTCCTTCCTTCCTTCCTTCCTTCCTTCCTTCCTTCCTTCCTTCCT